ATTCTATATTCTGTTCTATGATGATGCGTAGAGTAGTGTTGCAATTTGGTGGGCACATGATTTGTACTTCCTGAATCCATCCATCCATCCTGTTTGGGTCGTAGTTTTGAGTCCAGTGCATCCTTAAGCCTCTCCAGGATGATGCGGCATAATATTTTACTTGGGGTGGACAGGAGTGTGATTCCGGGCCAGTTCTTGCAAACACTGAGGTCTCCCTTCTTTGGCAGTTTAAGGAGGTAACCCTTCTTCCAATCAATGTGCAGGTACCTTCTCTTCCTTCCAGACCTTCTGCAATAGTGGTGTGGTGTGAGCATGTCTGCTGTTGTCTCTGCATCTGTTCTCAGTGCTTGTGGCGGTATACCGTCTGGTCCTGCTGCTTTCCCAGATTTCAGTAGCTTTATGGCGTTCAGGACTTCCATTTTTGTTGGAGGATTTATGTTCACTTGTAGTTTAGCGGCTGGGTTGCTGGTGGTGAGCCCATCGTTTCCTTTGTTTCTCTTCCTTCGTAATTAAATTTCCATCATCATCTCTTATTGGTTTCGTCTGTGTTGATCTCTTCCAGATAGTAACCTGGTTATTTGATACAATGTTGTCAGGTGTCTGTCTCTCCTACCATCAGCCAGCAGCCTGTTCTGCTTCACTTGCCAGTGTTTCGTAGAAGTGTCTTTTGTCTTTGTGTGCACTCTTCTTTACTTCTTTGTCCAGTGTTTTATACATTGTGCTGAATTATTCTTGTCGTTGTGCATCCTTGCACTTGTTTATTTTCTGCTTCACCATCCTCCTCTCCCTGCTCTATCAGCTTCCACGTATCCATCGAGATCCATTCCCTATGTTCTTTCTTCTTCCTTCCTAATACTGTTGTGCAGGTTTCTCTCCACATCTCTTTCAAAGACTTCCAGTGTTCTTCCACACAGGTTTCTTCAGGGATGTTCCTCAATACCTCCCATTTTGTCTTGATGGCTGCTGTGAAGTTTCCTTTGTAGTTTCGTGCTTGAGTTTTTCTTCTCGGTGTTGAACTTGAACTGTGGTCGTCTATCACCGACTTCCTTGAAGGTTTTCGACTTGATTTTGAAGGTAGGTTCCTTGCACTAGATAGTGGTCTGAGCCTACATCTGCTCCTCTTCTTGACCTTGTGTCAAGTAGACTGCGTCTCCATTTTCTTGAGATTGAGATAGAGTCGATTTGATTTTTAGTGTGTCCATCTGGTGAAATCCATGTCTCTTTGTGGATATCCTTGTGCTTGAACACAGTGCCTGACTCTAATCACCAAATGGTTGAATGCACAGAATTCTGCAAATACTTCTCCATTCTCGTTCATCACCTCACCGAGTGCTTCTCGACCCATGGTTAGTTCTCTTCCTGTGTTGTCCCCTCCCAGTTTGGCATTCATGTCGCCCATTAGAATTTCGATATCGCCAACTGAGGTCTTATCCAGTGTTGATTGCAGTTGTCTGTAGAATTCCTCCTTTTTCTCGTGCTCTGCATTATTTGTAGTTGCATGGCATTGTATGATTGTTACCTTTCTTCCTATTGAGTTGACCCTTGCCATCATGATCGTGATCCTGGATGAGATTGGTTCCCACTGCATGAGAGCCTTCGATGCTGTTGGGGACATCATGATAGCCACTCCAACACTCAGTGTGCTCGTGGTTGTCGTCTGGGTGACCGGAGTAGATTATTGATTCTCCAGTTGACAGTTTGGAGAGTCCGCTCCCATTCCATCTGCTTTCGCAAATCCCAAGCACTTCAGTGTGATACCTTTTCATCTCTTTTGCAATGTGGGCTGCCTTGCTGGGTTCAAACATCGTACGGACGTTCCATGTCATCACGTTTACTTTCGCTTTCATCGAGGGTGAGAAGACACGCGGCCCGTCTAATTGGCTTCCCGAAGGCTTTCACCAACTGGCATCATTTCGCCTCTCCGATTCCAGCGAGGAATAATTTTGTTTTTATTTTTTATATTTTGTTTGTGCTTTGAAGTTTGTTTAGCGGTTAGATTTGTTTTCCGGGGTAGGGTTGCTAGCCCTCTGCCCAACCTTCCCTCTTTACCCGGGCTTAGGACCGGCTAGTAACTAGTGAACTAGTTAACCAGGCGAGGTTTTAGACAAAATAACAGTGTGATAATGTCTTCTTTAGATATTATTGTAAAGTAAATGCTCGTGTCTGGGCGTGAACTTAAGCTTTCTTGAGCCTTTAAGCATTGTTTGATGATGAGTGCAGATGGCAAGAAAACCTAAGCATAAGACTTCCTGTCAACCAACTTGAACAATTCAACATAATCATCATTTTGATTATCCGAGATTGCCGTGATTTAGCAGACTAGTGTTGATACTAGTCAGTAGTTGGACGCCATAGATGAGTTGGTAAAGCATCGGGTCGGAAACCTGATGGTCGCTGATTCGAATCCGACCACGGTCCAAATTTTCATTTCACCTTCAATTACCAAGGCGAGTTTTGCCCGACTACCATTTGAATTCGTGACGCGTTACTACTTCGTGATCGTATTGACACTGGCTGCCTAGTCAGGACTTCTCATCCCAATTTAAATGTAAGTGAATTAGAGAGGAGGGGGAGCGTCATGTTGATGATCATTTTCACTATCTGAGATGGCCGTGGTTTGGTGGGCTAGCATTGATACTAGATAGTGATTGAAGGTGAAATGAAAATTTGAACCGCTACTAGTCTATCAAACTACGGCTGTGTTTAGAGGTTGACAGGAATCATAAGCAATTACCAGTTATTTACATCTACTGCTGCACCCACCAGCTGTCTGGTCACCTTCGCCGGCTCACTATTATCCATAGGTTGGACTGCGTTCACTAGTCGTAGCTGCTGGGCTATGGCATTCTGGTCACTTTCGATGGACTGTGCCTGGGCGTTCTCATCCAAAGTGGGAAGTGCTCGTCGAAGTAGTTTTGTCAACTTCACAGCCAATACCAGCAGATCTTCGTCGATTCCAGGTTTCGTGCTCAGGAACTGCTGCATCTTCAGCTTCCTGTCCGCTAGGCTGTCAAACTCCGCCTCCAGTTGTTCAACCATTCCCTTCCAAATCTCCTTCCCATTCACGCTTTCCACGCCATCATATGCAGCTTTCGCCCTACTCCTCAACAACGTGCCAAGCACTGCTACCTTCGCTCCTGGATTCCGGACACCCACCAGCTCCGTGATCGAATTGAAGTCCATGAGGAATCTTCATCACGTTCGGAAGCAGCGACACCACTTGTAAGAAACGTCAAAAGTGAGACACAGGACAAGATGTTTATTATGACATCTTTCCATTAAAATATTCATTTACCCAATGTGTTTCATTTCCTCTTCTGCTTCTATCTCGACTTGCCGTTAATATGCCCGCATTGTCTCGTGCGTTTCTCTGTTCAGAATCTTTACCCATCGTTGATAATTGCTTATAATTCCCGCCAACCTCTCAACATATACTACTCATATCCATTCTTATCAGTAGCACCTAATACAATACTGCTGCTTAATAACTACCTTTCAGAATTTATTAAAAAAATTATCAGGAACTTATAAGAGAAAGAATGATAATATTAGCGGTAATCGCAACATGTCTAGGAGGGGATTCAAATCTTTTGCGGTGTTGTCATGTGAAGAAGGCTTATTGGAGGTTTTATGTGGGATTTTTAGAGTGACATTTAAGCCCACAAAGTTGCTCAGGCTAAAAGATCTAGCAGAACCTATTCGGAAAAATAACTTGGTTTATCAAATGCCATGTAATGATTGTGAGGTCAAGCATAAAGGTCAAAGCAGCCGATCTGAGTCAATCAGAATAGCAGAACACAAAAATTTAGCGAAACATACAATGGTAGAGCCTACTATTATAAGTAATTTAGGGGTAAACTCAGCTATCGCTCTGCATGCATTGACCCATAATCACACTATATGGTGGATAGGATAGGGTGACTCAGCCAAGAATGATTCAAACATCATATATTGCAGAAATCTGAAAATCTTAACTACCATTAGAATAAATGAATGAAAACATTGTTGGATTACATTATTACTATAATATTATTTTTCCCTTGGGTTCCTAGTGGAACATAGGGCTTCAGTAGCATGCCTCCATTGGACTCTGTCCTCTGCAGTCTTTTGAACCTCGCTCCACGACTGCCCGGAAGCTTTCATTTCTTCCTCACATGACCTCCTCCATGTCACCCTCCGCTAGGACGGCCAACTCGTCTTTTCCTCTTTGGATTCCTCTCGACGGCCTGGCTCGTGATATCCCCGAATTGTCTCTCCGGTGTATGCCCAATCCATCTCCACTTCCTTCCACCGCATATTTGTTGGGCATAAGTTGTTGGTTGATTCGTTGCTTGCCAACCAGTCAGAGTTCCTTGTTGCTTATTCTTTCTGACCATCCATCCGATCTTCAATATGGAGTGAGTGTAGACGGCAGCTGTTGATGAATGTCCGCAATTTGTTGGAAATGCTTTTCATGACACGCCAAGTTTCTGAACCATCCCAAAGAAGCACTGACTTGACTGGATTGGTGTTGAAACTCCGGGTCTTGTCCACACTCTTTTTGCTGAGTGCAGAAGATTTCCACACTGGTTTCAGGTTAATGAACGCCTGTCTTGCTGTCTTTCCGATGCTGGCTGCTTTGACATCCTCGTCTGTGCTGCCACCTGTAGTTGAAAAGATGTTGCCACGCCTAGGGAGGTGAAAGAGACTACTTCCTTTAGGTTTCTCCCGTTAATGGTGACTGGAGCTTGTTGTTGTTGATGCTGTTGTTAGTTGGGTATCTTCATCACCTCCGTTTTCTATACATTCACTTGAAGTCCCGGTTGGATTACATAGAGGAAGTTTTTAAGTTGTATGTTCACATCGATAATGAATATGTACAATAATCTGTGATTAAAACGTCATCCATTTAATAATAGTGTTTCACACTGTGTCCTATGTCGAGTAAACAATCTAATGTGGAATTATATTTTATCCCAGTTTTACTCTTGTATGAAATTTTTTTTATATTTGTTTTTCAGTCGATGAAATTTATCATTTAGCTTCACCAGCATCTCCTCAACACTATATGCACAATCCTATACGTACTATCAAAGCGAATACTTTGGGCACCTTGAATATGCTGGGTATGTTTAAATGTAATAAATTAGTATCAATAACTTACCGCTATACTTTGTTTTAGTTAGCATAATCTTCCATTTAAACCAATGCAAATGAACTTTATATGCCTCCTGTTTTGTAAAAATTGAGTTTTCGAGTCTCATGTTAAGAAATAGGATCTAAAACACTTAGGGTAGAGAGCTTTATACATCTATGCAACAGGAAGTCAGCTATATTACGTAATGATCAGTACATAACATGCCATCGGCTCTCTCTTTATTCACCATTTTCTTAGTATGTTGTTTAGATATAATAGTTCATTTGTTACACGAAAAGTTATTTTCAATGTTCCAATGTTCTTCATACCTATCTTGAGTTATACTTCAAAAGCTTTTAAAATTGCTACACATCCATAGAAACAATATTATAAAACAGTACATTTCCCACGACTTTCAACAGATTCGATCAGGAACACTAAAAATACCTGGTAGTATTTCCTTTAAATCTTAACGATATCCAGAAAGTACAGATATGAAATAAATTATAGGAATGAAACGAAACTCGCACATCAACCGTGTATAGATTCGTGCAGTAGGCAATGAGCCACACCTATTGCATAAGGGCTAGTGACACTACCTTACTATCCAAGCCTCTGTAGGTAGGATTCAAGGCCATGACCTACTGGTTGATAGTTATCTCTCTAAACCACTGAATCACAAATCCATAAGGAAAATGTAAATAGGAAGATAAACATGAGCATAAATTTTATGACTGTAAAAATTGTCTCCATCACATTGAAATGAGTATTTCTGCGTATATAAATATGGAAACATGTTGCTGCAGTTATGCAACCAACAGTTAGTGTTGGTCGCATATTTATGTACTATTTTATACTGTTCAATATAAAAGGGAGTTCAGTGCTTCTCACTTATTTGAAGAGTTTCATATTTAAGTTTTTGTGGTGGTTGTTCACAGTTTTGTATATTTCTTATTCCATCAAGAGATCACAAATTTTATCGCTTACTCAACACTTTCCTTATTCTAAATCCGTTTAAGTATTTCATATTGATGATAAAATGTAAATTAGTAAACTTGCGTCTATTTTATCCAGATAAAATAATCACAAATACTTGAATATACCTTTTATACAAATAAAGTTCCGAGATTATTTCTTTAAGTGGCTCATTTTCGAGCTTTACCATAAAGATATCAGCCAGAACAGGGCCTAGTGCAGACCCCATAGTGACTCTGTCCGTTTGACTATAAATTATATCAATGAATCTAAACTGTACACTAAATGTACATCTCAATATCAGTTGTTTTAGGTGGTTTGTAGGTAATCCAATGTTGATATTATTACAATCAATATAATCACATAGATAAAGATGTAAGAAGGCTTCAAGTGTTTGACCACCGTTGCCTTCGTAGTATAGGACGTATTCCGTAATGTCATCACGTGAGTAATGCAGAAGTTAGGTGTAAAGTTTTGGGGAGAAGAGGTAAGTCAGCCGACGAGGTTGTGAACCTTCATCGACTGAGATGGTTGGGACACGTACTACGTATGCCCAGTCACCGATTGCCTCGTCACACAATGTTGGCTGAGGTGGGTGCAGGCTGGAAAAAGACCCGAGGTGGCCAGACTAAAACATGGCACCAATGTATGAAGTCTCTGACTGTTGGTTTAAGCCATGTGCGGCGATGCAGACTAGGTGGTTGGGGTCCACGGGACAAGAGGAAGCAGTGGTTGGAGACTAACTGTAGGTGATATGGCTGAGAACCGAAGTCAGTGGCGCAGATGTATACACACATTATCCTCATCTTAACAACGCTATGCCGAATCTCACCATTTTGTCACTTCTCTTTTCTTTCTTGGCGTACTTTACATGTCTTTTGCCTGCATTCTCTTATCTTCATCCTTCACCTCACTACCTTGCTACTTCATGTACTGCACTGAGCTGTGGCAACTCGGAGTGTTACACAGTAATGCCTGGTCTTATATTGATATTGATTGATTGAATTGCATAGATAACAAACGGTTTCAACAATTGGAACATTAGTTACTAAAGAACAAGCATCAAGCGATATCATGTGCTTACCCATTGCGTTGATTTCATCGATGCAGCGAACAAAACCAAATGTATCAGAAAGACTATATTTGCATAGATTTGATCAAAGAGGTTCAAGCATTTCAGCAAGCCACATTGCCAGTGAGTGATGAGGTGGTTTAAACGTATCCAATACTGGATGAAGACTTAGACCATCTTCATTCATCTTCGGTAAACTATATAAACGGAGCATGTTTGGATCAGGTGGTCTAAGCTGTTCATAAATAATATCCGGGGTAATTAAGGATTCTTCTTTCAATTTTTTTAAAAGATTTTTAAATATTTCATTTTCATTATCTTCTGTTCTGTCTTTCTCATCTTTGAATCTTAGATATTTATTATCATCTCTAAGAATTATTATTATTTGTCCCTTGGGTTCCTTGTGGAACATAGGGCCTCAGTAGCATGTCGCCACTCCACTCTTCTCTCCTCTATTCTTAAGCTAACTCCACGACTTCCCACAAGGTTTCATTTCTTCCTCACATGATCTCCTCTGTGCCACCCTCAGACGTCCAACTCGTCGTTTCTCGTTTGGGTTCCATTCGACGGCCTGACCTGTGGCGTGATGTTCCCGAATGGTCTTCTCAGTGTATCTCCAGTCTAATCCAATCCAATCCAATCCATCTCCATTGTCTTATTCTGCATATTTGTTGGTTGGTTGGTTGCCAGCCAGAGTGAGTACCTTGTTGCTTATTCTTCCTGGCTACCTATCTGAGGTTCAGTGTCAGTATGGAGTGAGCGTAGGTGGCATCTGTTAATGATGTATGTGTGCAGTTGTTTGTTGGGAATAGTTTATGTGACGTGCGGCGAAGTCTGTGAATCATCACATAGAAGCACTGAGTTGGCGTGACATTAGTGTTGAAAATGCTGATGTTGTTCATGCTTTATGTTGAGTGGAGTTGATTGGAATGAATCTTCACACTGATTTCAGATTAATGAAGGAAGATGTGTCTTGCTTTCTTTGCTATCTTGGCTACTTTGACATCCTCATCTGTGCCACCGCCGCATGTAGTTGGGAGGATGCTGCTTAGGCAGGTAGGTAGAAGAGACAACATCCTGTAGGTTTCTCCCGTTCATGATGATTGCTGTATGTTGTTATTCGTACTGTTGGTCTTCACCTGAAGTCAGTCTTATGGTAGCTGTCTCGTGTCTTCTGCCATCTTGTTAGTTTTCGCCTGCAGATCTTTGAGTTTGTGCGACAAGACATTAGACACAAATCATCATGGGCGAAATCCAAATCTTCTAGGGTCTTTTCATCGGTCCGGCCAGCGTATGCCCATCTTCTCGCTCCTCATAAGTTGTCTGTTACATGATGCAGTCGAGTCCAGTAGACCACAATCAGGGAGATCATCGGTGACAGTAGGCAATCGCTAAGAACTGAGTATAGTTTAATGATATAAACTGATCGATCCAAAATCAGGAAACCAGATCTTTTGTTTAGGTGTACAAGTATAATATCGTTGTTGTTAAGTACTTCTTTCAATTTCACTTTGTACACTTTGGATACCATACATCATTGTCGACATGGTGTTTTCAAATATTCATAAAAGTGAGTTTAGGGACTTCGAATTCTTTTCTCAGTGTTTGCAATGGAGTATTTATTCCACATACCCCTCCAACTTCACCAGTACACGTTCATTAAAAAGACTGAAATTTCGGGTAAATATTTTGTAGTCTACCTGGTGCCTAGCAGTGAAATCCAAGATGCGTGTTCCATCCTATTTGGAACTCATCATTTGGATATACCTTCACCATAATGAGCAGTATTGTTCCTATTAAGACTCGAACTTACTGCCCATCGCCAGTGCGTTATCCACTACACCACTGGGGCACGATGACCATCATTCGACCATTTGAGCTAAATGTTAACTCAGTCTGTGACCGACCAATTTGATGTTCAGTGTCATTGTTATGCAAACTATCAGTTATGTGGAAACCTGGATTTGTGTCAGAATTCGAATCAGGGACCTCCGGGTTACCGACCCGGTTGTCTACTAACTGATCTATGAGACGCGCCTATTATTTTATTATATTTATTATTGGGCCCTTGAGTTCCTAATGGAACATAGGGCTTCAGTAGCACGTTTCCAGTGACCTCTGTTCTCTGAGATCTTTTGAACCTGGTTCCACGACAGCCCAGAAGCTCGCATTTCCTCCTCGCACGACCTCCTCCATGTCACCCTCGGACGTCCAACTCGTCGCTTCCCATGGGGATTCCACTCGAGGGACTGGCCTGACGCGTGATGTCCACAGCCGGTCTTTTCAGTGTATGCCCAATCCATCTCCACTTCCTTCTGCATATTTGTTGAGTCATAGGTTCTTGGTTGGTTCGTTCCCAGAGCTCCTTGTTGCTTATTCTTTCTGGCAATCCATCTGATCTTCAGTAGCGAGCCAGTGTAGGCAGTTGTTGATGAATGTCTGTAGTTTATTGGAAATCCCTTTCGTGACGCGCCAAGTCTCTGAACCATACAGAAGCAATGACTTGACGTTGGTGTTGAAAACCCGGATCTTGTTCTGCATGCTGAGTGGAGTGCAGAAGATCTCCACACTGGTTTCAGGCTAATGAACGCCTGTCTTGCTTTTCCGATTCTGACTTTGACATCCTCATCTGTGCCTGTGGCGCCTGTAGTTGAAACAGTGCTTCCTAGATAGGTGGAGGAGGTTACTTCCTTTAAGTTTCTCCGTTGGTGGTGACTGTAGTTTGTTGTTGTTGTTGATGGTGGTGGTGCGGTATCTTCATCACCTCTGTCTTCTCTATATTCACTTGAAGTCCCGTCTTCGCTGCCTTACCTCTTCTACCAACTTGTTAGTTTTCGCCTGTACATCTTCAAGTTTGTGTGACATCAGACACAAGTCATCATCGTTGGCGAAATCCAAGTCTTCTAGGTTGTTTTCCGTGGTCCAGCCATTGTATCCCCCTC